AGTGCCTTTCCGATGTGATGCACACCTTGACAGCCTCTTGTTTCGAATCCTACGGCAGTGACATGTAGGTTTAGGGTTTAAGGGGTTTAGGGTTTAGGGCTTAGGGCTTAGGGTTTAGGGCTTAAAGGGTTTAGGGATTATAGGGATTATAGGGTTTGTAGGGTTTATAGGGCTTATAGGATTTTCAGGGTTGGGGGTTTAGGGTTTAGGGTTTAGGAGGCCCAAGAACCTTTGATTGCGGAACGCCTCTCAGGCCACAGCAGAAGGGACCCTATAAAGCTTCTGCTTATCCTTACCAAGAGGGTCCATGTATACTACTATTATAGGGTTTAGGGTTTCGGACTTAGGGTTTAGGGTTTATGGTTCTGCAGAGATAAGCAAAATCTGCTTGAATTCCGGAGCCTTTTCATAGCATCGAGCGACCCTGTGGCGCTGCCAGTTGGGGTAGGTCGCGGTTTCGGGTTTGGGATTCAGGGTTTAGGGTGCAAATACATGTGGGTAGTTGTCTATATGAGGGTTCCCTTTTTAGGTCCCCAATATAGTACGACACCCTTATGAAATGGACCCTGAAAGGGACCCTTGTTTTGAGAACTACCCATGTCTTCCAAGCCCACTTGAGGCAATTCGGATGGATAGGGCTAGGGCTATGGGTTGCTTGCCATTTTCTGTAGGACCCGCAGACAGTAAGCTATTGTAATCTAGGGGCCTTAATAATTAGAATAGGGTTGTTGGGCCCATTATACTATAACTATAATAAGGAGCCCCCCAAATCCTATTCTAACTATTAAAGCCCCTACAGTATATGAGCACGATGAAGGCACCCATGAAATGCTCCTGAACCTGTGCAGGAGCCAACACAGAGCAGGCTGGGTCTTCATGAACTAAACCTTGTGTTGATGATCTAGGGTTTAGGGTGTAGGGTTTCGGGGTTTAGGGTTTAGGGTTTAGGGTTTAGGTTTAGGGTTTAGGGTTTAGGGATCAGGTTTCAGGCTGAAGTCATTACTGGTTCTTTCGTCGGTTCTGTCCTTTTGCAAAGGGTTGATGGACTCTACAGGTTCTTGGCAGGTTTTCAGCAACAGCTAAAGTGCATAGAACTGAGATTTTTTTGGGTCGTGAGTTGAAGTCATCATGAGAGCCACCTGCCCATAGAGAGTTTCCCCTAAAAAAGACACCCAAATGTCGAACGAACCCAAACTCTTTCTAACTACAATGACAAGTGGAATTGGAATGGTTGGCCTCCCAAATCCCAAGCCCTAGACCCTAAACCCTGTAAAGCCCTAAGCCCTAAACCCTACAAGCCCTAAAACCTAAACCTCTAAAACCAAAACCCCATAAGCCGTAAACTCTATACGCCCCAAAACCCGACAAGCCCTAAACGCCATCAACATGGTTGAACTCGGAAGCAGGCCCACCAGAAGCGATAAGTCCGCCTAGAGGGATTCGGGTTTAGGGGCCCTTAAATCATCAGCGGCGCCCCTAAATTCAATTGAGCATGCTAACATGCCCAAAACAATCCAAGTATTAACCGTTCCCGGCCCAAGATGTGTGCCAAGTGCCCTTCTTCTAAAGTTTAAGCCGTCGATCCCAGACCCCACTTTCAGAACCGCTCCCTTACCCCTTCTGGTGCTCTTTGTGGCCACCCGTTTGTGGCGCCAATGCTACCTTTAATAGCAGCGTAGAAGTAATCAGATGTAGATTCCTGCAGCGTGCAAGCCCTACAACCGTGCGGGCCTGTCACGTTGTGTTCCGCGCGGCTTCCATCTGGGAGCGCCAGAAGAACGGAGCCCAAATGCAAATCACACGAGTCCTTGTGAAATTTCCTCGTGCTTGTGAGGTGCAAGGTCAACTGCAGTGCGACATAGGCATTGTGCCACGGCATGCATTTGTGCGATTGAGGTTTAGGGTCAGGGCTTTGTTTTTTGTAGGTGTTCGGGAATGTGTGATGAAGTGTCTGAGCACTTGATGACTTCCTACTGAGATTCCTAAATCCCGGAGAGATAAATCCTATACCCTAAACCCTAAACCTGAACCGTCGATACCTACCATAAATGTTCTCTTGGTGAGGGAGCTCAGCAACAGCTTCATAAACCTTAAACCGAAACCTAAATCACTAAACAATTTAGGACGCTGCAGCTGTCTAGAGTTTCGGGTTTAGGGTCTAGGTTTTTGGGCCGCTTGGGGTTTATCATATAACTTTGGGTTTACGGTTCTAAGGTTCAGGGTTGTAGGTGTTCAGGGCTTATAGGGTTTAAAATAGATTTTAGGGTTTAGGGTTTAACCTTTGCGGGTTTTTTCATGTAGCACCCGAAGCTCCTTCAGGGCGTAGGGTTTAGGAATTAGGGTTTAGGGTTTCCGGGCTTAGGGTTTAGGGATGTTTAGGGTTTGTTCCAGGGTCAAGGGTTTCCGGGCTTAGAGTTTAGGGTTTGTTCTAGGGTTTAGGTTCTAGGCCTTAGAGCTTAGGGTTTGTTCTAGGGTTCAGGGCTTGGGGCTTCGGGCTTAGGGTAAAATTGCGATGGATGGTCTGTACAGTGATACCATTGAGATTCAGGCTCATGGTTTTGGGAACTCTGAGCTCTCAAGCCTACACCCTACTGTAATGAAACTCGCTTAAACAAAAGAAGCTTGAAACTCCAAAGCCCTGAGCCCTAAACCTAGACGAAAACTGAGCCCTTCTCCCTGATAAGATTGGGATCCTGAATCCTAAATTCTAAACCCCAACCCTAACCCCCCAGTACCTACTATATGGGGTACTAGAGCCCCTATGGCCCTATATCGTAGGTGCCTGAAGGGTTAGGGCAAGCCTTTGGAGCCGAGGTCTTTTCCACAGCCCGCGCGTTCGCGGCGCTGTCTCTGGAGGGCGAGCCGCTTTGCCTAGGATGAGGCATTATTTCTGCAGAAAGGACTGTTGCACAAAGGGCTGTTGCATGGGATGGAAACTGCTGGTTTGTACCTGTTCGAGATGTTCGTTTATACGGCTTCAGGGCTAGTTTCCTCTCCACAAATGGTGACGTCTGGGTTTTTTTGTGATTTCGGGAGGTTGGGCCAATTGGGGGTTTTGAGGTTTGTGGCTTCATAGGCTGTTGTGACAATTACACGGGCTTTACAGGGCAAACCACTCACCAAGAAGTCGAAAGAACCAGCTCAACACTAAAGAATAAAGAACTTACAAGTCTGCATCAAAGGATCAATGAACACAAAGCGGAGTTCAGGAAGATATTCCTTAATTCATAAACAGAAGCTCTCACCGTGTGGCCAAATGCTTTGTATGTATATATGTAAGTAAGTAAGTAAGTAAGTAAGTAAGTAAGTAAGTAAGTAAGTAAGTAAGTGAGTAAGTAAGTAAGTAAGTAAGTAACTAACTAAGTAACTAAGTAACTAAGTAAGCAAGTAAGTAAGTAAGTAAGTAAGTAAGCAAGTAAGCAAGCAAGCAAGTAAGTAAGTACGTACGTAAGTAAGTAAGTATGTATGTATGTATGTATGTATGCATGTAAGTATGTATGTGTGTAGATAGTGTAGATATGTGTATATACACATATATGTACACTAAGACCGTTAAAGTGAAGATTTGCTTATCAGGGCTTTGCCAGATCTGAGACATAGATGAAAACCGTTTTGCTTTGCGGCTGGCCAGTTGTGCTTGGGATAGCCATGATACGAAAGACTGATTCATTAGTTATAGAACGCCTCATGGTTCCCCCCCTTCCAATCCGAAACATGCTTTCCGGTTCCCAATTTTCAGGCTTGTAAGAAGAGAGCCCTACTATGAGCCATAAAAACTAGGATGCTGATTGTTCGGACTACTGAAAAAAGTTCCCTTGGTTCAGGAATCAATAGACGTTCCGTCCGTCCGCCCCTATCAGAAATCCCACGCCGCCAGCAAACCGCAACTACAAGTTCCGATCATCTCCCATCCCCAACAACTTCTCCCGGCGGTGATAGTCAATTGCACCAGAAAGGCTTGATAGGTTGGGCTCTTATTCTTTTGCTTCCCCGGTAGCAGCAAAATGCATAGTGGGCTCGGTGTTCTCTGCGAGAGTGCATAGAGAAGATACAGGAGGCAGCCAGAGAGGGAGTAGAAAGTTATCTGAACTATGATGTTGTTCTATTAAGCCCCTGGAAATGTTGATCATAATTTACACCCTGGCCTCGATTCCGGTATATACCATATCTTGACGGAGAATGCGTGTTTGAGGCCATGTGGACCACATGGGTACGTGCCCTTCTAGGGTAATCCAGACTTGGGATCCCTCTGCGGGACGTCAGGCCTCATGCGATGGCCAGCGGTGCAGCAAAGTGCTGACAGTGAGGCGTGGTTAGGGTTTAGGGCCAGGGTTGGGTGTATAGGGCCAAAACCCTAAACCCTAAACCCTAAAGGGCTCATAATTCAGGATTTAGTGCCCGAACTTTGGAAGTTCCTTGAAATACGCAGGTTCCCAACGCCTTAACTTGACCTTGCCGTGAAGGGCATATGGGGAAACGGAGAGCCGGAGAGTTTAGGGTTTAGGGTTTAGGGTTGAGAGTTTAGGGTTTAGGGTAGGGTTTGCCTAAACCCTAAACCCTCAACCCTAAACCCTAAACCCTAAACCCTAAACCCGGCGGAGGGTTGGGGGTGAAGGGACTTGGGGTTGAGAGTCATGTGCACGTCGGACCTGCGCCATTTCTGCCCTTCTGGCACGACTGAGGTGTGAAAGCGAACAAAAGACCCCAGCTAATCCTGAACCCCTAAACCCTAAACCCCTAAACCCTAAACCCTAAACCCTAAACCCCTAAACCCTGAACCCCTAAACCCCAAACCCCTGAACCCCCAAACCCTAAACCCTGAACCCCTAAACCCCAAACCCCTGAACCCTAGTCCCCCTAATCCCTTAATACCATGCTCCAGGTTCTTTCGAAGCTGGCAGTGTTAGCTGCGTCGATAAGGGAGTTCCAGCCGCTCTCTCAGCATTGAGGGTTTAGGGCTTAACTTAGGGTGCAACGGGGGCCATTGATCAGCATTTCGACCCTGCCTGTTATCTGTATACACCTATAATTCGCCTCTGTAGTATACACGATCGCCGTCAAAATGCAACATTAACCACGCAAAGTTGGAAACCAGAACATAGATGAGTCGTGCTGTCAATCCTTATCAAAGTTGGTGCTTAACTCATGCGAACGATGAGTCTTCCAACTTAACTGCGGCTATGCTGACAGTTCGGACCATCTCTTCCTCAAGATGTACGAAGAGCACCCAATGTTGGAATAGGGTCTACTTTCGGCTGTCTGGAGTGTTCGAAATTCGGCTGTTGGTGTTAGGAGTATATGGAAGGGCCAGTTATAAGTCGCTAAGTCACGCAAGTCTGCGCGTGTAGACTTGAAGTTTTAGGGTTTAGGGCCTGGGGTTTTAGGGCTAACTCGCGCTAAGCCAAAGCCTAGGTCTAGGAATGAACGATTCCATGTGTCGTGTAATGCTTCAGTTAGTAGTACTCGTAGAGACAAGGACAGCAACAATGAGCACCAACAGATGCAAGTAAAAAACATACAGGTATGTATGTATGTATGTATGTATGTATGTATGTATGTATATATATATATGAGAGAGA